ACTGCATGGCTTTCACGATATCGTGCAGCTATGGGGGAGGCGCGTGAGGCGCCGCGACGTAGGCGTCTAATCTATGGGTATATCGACGCTCTCGGCGCGCAACGAACCCCCGTCGAGCGACAGATGTCGTGTTCGCAGCGTTTCTAACGAACGCGGCAAATATTATTCCTTCCTTTTTATTTCATTTCGTTTGAACAGACCGGCGGACGATTTCTTTCGCTATTTTTAAACAAAAAAATGGAAAATGGAAAATTAATGATAGGAGAAATTGAATTACTCATTAGTGTACTTAATGGTAGCTGAGTAAATCGCGACAGAATCGAAAGGGAGACGTTCATAGCGTGAAACTATAGAATCAGGGGCATATATCGAGATAACAGAGCGGCATCGAGTAATTTTCGAAAGTGGCGAGGATAGCGAAGAGGAAGTCAGTAGTTAGATAATACGACCGCGGGGACAATTTCCATAACTACCATTGTCTTTGCGCAATCGCGTTCGACGATGTTCCGAAATCGTCTTCCCTCCGCCTCCGCAACTACTCTCCTCTTCACGCCTTTCGAACGTCCGACATAGACGTCCCATGGAGAGAGAGATCGAGGGTTTTCCATTTAAATCCCGAATGGCCCGATTACGAGGAACGGAAGAGCGTGAAATAAATAACGTCCGAATATCTCTCGATGCTCCTCGAGAATTCAAAAATTCTTCTATGCGTACCGGTGAAGTTACACTGAAATTCAACGTCTACGATTGGAGGGTTAAAAAACGTCATAAAATCGTATGAAAATGTACGACACCGAATCGCGACAGTCTGCTTGACAATGGAACAGCGAATTGCCCCGAATGCCGAGTGTGATTGATTCCTTAATAATTGCGCGGAGAATCCCGTGGGCGGGTCTGGTGAGCACGAGGGAGGCTCGATAATGCAAATTTCTGTCGCGAGGGTGAGACGTGTCGGCAGTGGTAGCAATTATGTATGGGGTGTCGGGAGATCGAGGACCTCGGGTTGCTCCGACAGCGGCAAAAGGCCGAGAGAAAGGGCGAGAAAGAGACGGAGAAAGTAACGCCGCGACGGGATGCGTACAAGTGCAGAGGGAGAAGGGTGTCACTCGCAGCTGTTTCAACCCCACGCCACGATCCACCCCCAAAACGAACGAAGGAGTAACAGCAGTCACTCGGTCATTAAGGGGCGTGATCGTTGTTTGATTGCGGAGGTTGAGCCTACCTTTTTCACCCTTTCGATCAACTCTTTCCCTCCCTCGAGCTGCGCGGGAAAGAGAAGAAAAATGTTTCTGTTTTATAGTTGGAATTGTTTGTCTCTTTTTTCCTCTAAATACACCCCTCGTTGCCCAACAGCGAGGATACCCATTACCAATCGGCTCGTTTAAAGATTTTTCCCCGTCCAATGGTAACGGGTTAGTTGTAGCGCGCGATAACCGGCCCCGTCCTGCACGACTCGCTGATTCGTATGATTTTTGTCCGCGTTTTAACCGGTAATCGATACACCATTTGCATAATTACCGGGAAACGAGCGGCAATCTGTTCGCGCGCATCCATCTTCCTGTAAAAACTAATACCGTAAATGGGAGATTTCGACTGGTGCCAACTGCTGACCCGTCAGCTGCTGCTTTTTTCGCGGAAAATCCTGAAATAAAATTCCCGATGCATTTTCCATCTATATCGTTAATAATTCGACCCTTGGAATCGCGTTGATGTTCATATCCCTCGATCTGATCGCAATATATACGAGCGTAACTCCATCGGTCCACCCAGTATATACGTGGACGACACCCTAGCGTATTCGAGCTACGGATCTCATCGAAGTTTTGGAACGACTCCAGAGATGTCTAGGGATACGTGACACATTTGATCGTGAGCATTTAGCGTGTATTTTTGCGATCAGCCCCACGCGAGATATAAATTCGATCGACTTGTCAGCGGTCGTCGACGGTAAATAATACTTAGCAGTGGATTAGTGGGCGATCCTCGAGTTTGTTATTATATAATCTCGTATTTCATGTCAGACGACGTCGACAACTGTTTCTTCGTGTCTGCTTGATCGTTAATAAATTATTGGCTAGGATATACGATTGTGGAAGACGAAACAAACGCGTGGCACAAAATTCTATTAAATTTACTAGAAAGTTGTGTAATCGTTCGCACTAGCTGTCCGTTCCATAAGTGCGAAATAATAAAATCCGGGCGAACAAAGGCGAGAAAAGTTGAGTCGTAAAAAGGGGAAAGGAAGAAAAAGGATCGGGATCGTTTGAAGCGGTCGGTTGTCGCGAGCAGACGAATCAGCCCCGGGATTCGAAGTTAAAGTTTCCTCGATGATGACCGGACCATCGTGACTACGTCGATGGAACAGAGGAGAAGTGTTTTACGATAAAACTACTCGGATCCAATTTATCTGACGCGCGGTACAGGAAGAACTGGGTCGTTTCCGGGCTATCCTTCCCTCCGATTTTTCCATCGAGCTTCCCTTTCGTGGCCGTGCTACGGGCGACCCGTTCCATCGCCTCTTTCGAAGCGGATATATTTCGCGACTGGTTTTCGGCTAATGGTAGACGCCACGTTGGTCCCCAGCCTGCATCACGGCACATTTACCCGGTTCCCGTTCAAATAACTCTCTCCCCCGGATCGAAGCTGAAACTGAGCGAATCGAACCTTTCCTTCGTTTACCGTCTTCTCCTCTTTCTTATCCAATTTTTTCTTCTGGTACCATACACTCTGAACTTTCGCAAGACACGCGATAGTAAACGACACAGGACCGATTTCGATGCAACTTTGCACGATTGTTGAAGAGGAATCTTTCGCGTTAAACGACTTCATTGTTATTCATTTTCTTCTGTATGTCGTTAACTTTCGGCATCTCGCCAGAAATAGCTACCGGCGAGCTTAATTATTCCGTTCGTTGAAATCGAGTCCGGATAACGAGTCGATTGCGATCGCATCTGGACGATTCGATCTCGCCTAATGTCTCTTATATTCACGTTTCATAAAGGAAACTTCTTGCAATCATCGTGATGTCGAATACTCGCTTGTAAATGTTCCGAGTTCGAGAGACGGCGCGCAGAAAAGAAATTTAATTAATTCGTTTCTTTCTACGGAACGTTAAAGACCGCTAACGAGTAGGATCGGCGATAAAGCGATGATTTATGCTCCAACTTGTTCGTTTCACGAGCGCGGAGTCCACGCGCGGCTATTAAATAATGACGGGAGCGGTAGGAGGCTTCCGGTGACGTTGACTAATATCGGAGCTGGAAAAGGCTTTTGATTAAAGGCTCCCCTTTGCACCGTGGACGACCTACGAGGATCGAGGCCCTCGCGGGCGGACACGGTGACGGTTATTTTACAGACTTTCCATGGAAATCCCTTGGAAAGCCGAAAGGAGGTCAACGGAGATTTTCAGCCGAGCTGACGAGAATGCAGGATGTCGCAACGCGTGTATCTGCTAAGCTGAAATTTTGATTTCCAGCTTAACGTATCCGGTCGAACGACCGCGAGAATTAGCGAAGTCACCGGCTGACGGGACTGTTTACGAGACTTTTACACGATCGCGGAATTCCAGACGTAGCGCGGGAGATGCTTTCCCCTTTCCCGATTCGGTTCCCGTCGGATTTATTTATTTACGCGAGAAAATCTCTATCCCCGACGGAGAAGATGCATTAAGCAAATGAAAGAGGACGACGAAGCGAACGCGTCGAGATGCAAATCGATTTCGAGGAAAGATTACCTGTGCTACGGAACTAATTAATTAACCCTTACATCGTAAACCTGCAAATTCCCTTCCATTTAAGATGACTATACCGTTTTAGAAATTGCTAACATTTTAGAATGTTCGTACGATTAAAGTTTGACCATCTGCAGCGCTGTTCAAACGTTATCGTCTTCCTCGATCTTATCGGCCAATAATCGGGCCATTTTTACGACTCGAAATTCCCATGGTGTTGTCGGGAATGGCATATACAAATTTCGTTCCTTTTTTTTCTGAATACCTTAACGAATTCTCGGCTACACCCCGAGCCAATCAAAGCAGCCGTTCTCGTTAATGTTGCCCGATCGAAATACGTTTAAAGATGCCCTTAATTTTCGCCCCTTATCGTAACAGTTCTCGCATCGTTCCCATGGTAAGGGGCGAACGAGTATTTATACACGCGCGTGTCGGCACGCACTTAAACACACGATATCTACGTAATTCCGGTTCGCCTAATGGAGATAAGCCGGAACGTACGAGGCGGTTTTCTCGGATGGCGTAATGAGCGAGGACACGGGGTCCTTAATAACGCGCTCGAACCATCCTCGTCCTTCTCGCTGTCCTTCTCCATCCACCTGCTTTCGCTTCCTCTTCGTTTACTCCCTGGTGGACGCGACGGACGCAGGTGCGCCGGGATTGCTCGACCGACTCGCAAAATCTCAGCCTCTCCACGGCTTTACGAGCGGTTAAAGCCGGCCTCCGGACGCTACCAGCGTAAGGTTACTAAGTACTCGAGGGATATTCGATAACCTCTTTGCAACGACACATCGCTGACGAAATAATTAATCGTCGCCGTCGAAGAAGATCGGTCAGGCTGGTTGAACTTTGTCTTTAGAAATGTTAAAATGTTCAAATTTTTAACTTTTAATCATGATTTATGAGATTTTCCAGGCGCATAAATTGATAGAAGGAAAATGTAGGAATCTGATACAGTCGGAGCCGAAGGAAAGAATAACGCGAGACTATTACCGGGGAACGATAGGTTGGAAAGCCTCACGGTCGAGGGTTAGAAAGTAATAGACCGAGAAATTCCTCGGAGACGAGCGAAAGGTCGCGAAGCCAGCTACCCGCGCATAAAGAAATTTCTGCCTCGGGCTACGCCGGCATTTCCCGTGGGAGTCTGCTTCCCGTTCCCCATTTCCTTTTCCAATTCTTCCCGCTGTACACGGGGAGAGTCGTTTCCACTAATAAAGCTACGTCCTCACCGCGGCTCGGCGCCGCGCGTAACCGGCGTCGCTCGACTTACCTTTCGATCCTGAGCGGAAGCCCCGTTTGTCACGAGCTCGCTGCCACCATTCTTCGTTGCTCCTTTCCGTTCCTCCTCTTCCTTCTTATTTGCTCGTGCGTCCTCTACAGGATGTTGCGAAACGACTCGAGCACACCGCGAACAGCACTCGTGCAGCTTTCGAGTTCAGAGGAAAGAACCAGTAGTCTCCTTTCTTTCTTCCTCGACCATGTAATCCCCGTCGTTTCGCTTCTCGGCTTTGAGTCAAAGTCTTCCGGTAACTTTCTTCTCTTCTGGCGCGTCTGGTCCGCTCGATGCGCGAACAATCTACTTTGAAATTGAGGAAATTGAAGGTTCGTGACCGGATAAATAGTCCAAGTTCTTCGACCGGCGATCAACGTTGAAAACTTCACGCTAGATCGTTAATCGAGTCTCGTTACCCGCCCTCGATTCTCGCGTCTTCTTCTTGCACGAAAGGAAACGTAACCGCTTTGGGATCCGTTCGGTTTCTCTTCGTCTGTCTGTCGTTGGCGTCTCGCTCGAACGATTACGGCGATTTTATTGTCTGGACGAGATCGAACGGAACCACCGTAGCCAGACGATCGGTCGATGTCCGATAAGGCGCTAATGCGCTAATTGGCAAGCGGGCGCCACATATCCTATCCCCCGAGTTAATTATATTTAATTGTCGGGCCATTAATTGTATCTTTAATTACCGCTGCTAGGTACCGCGCGCCTCGATTGGCTACGTCGAAAAATTTAACGATCCGAATTCGAGCGGGCTGTTTTATCCGCTCGACGCGACGGACAGTCGCCCAAACTGTTGATCGTTACGGAAGAATCGTCGCGAAATAATCGCCGTCTCGAACAGAGGATAACGCGAAAAGCGAAGCTACTCGTTTGCTCTTCAACGCTCTCAATTCTTTACGGTTCTTCGATCCGCTTCGACGGTTTCCCGAGAGGATCGTTCTTTCTCGTGAAAAGAGTTTCGCACAGGCTTGGAAGGGAACTCGAAGAAGGGTCGTCCACTTTCTTCTCCTTAGGGTGGCGAGACCCTTTTTCCACGGATTCAACGCGTCCCTTTGGAACGCAGCAACGCGAAAGTTCCCTTATTACCAGGATCGATCGGTCACTTTTTCCCTCCGCTTCTTCGTCGAAGCGAAAGTCGCGGGAAGACGCGATCTCGATAGGTGTTATCTGCCTGGGAAGTTGCAGTCGAAACGGTGTACATTCGATTGCTCGAATAATCAAGTTCCTTCGCACGACTTCCTCTTCCGACTCGATCGACGCGTGTGTCACGCTGCGGCTCTCGTTCGATCGCACGATTTCAAATCAAACTGGCATGTCGAAGTTTTGCAACATCACGAGTCGAAACTGTACGACACGACGAAAGGGTTGATTGTTTTGAAAGCAACCTCGATCGAATCTCGATCGGCTCGCGTTTCCGAGAACACGAAATCCGTAAGGTAGCTACCGAGGGAGGAGGTTACCCCGCAACGAAGCGGGTTCTCGGCACGACTGAGAGGCTCGAACCTCGACGACGAGAGCCACCCCCGCGAGAGGGTGGCAGAGCGAGATACCGAGAGGGAGCGAGAAAGAGTGCGCGCAGTCGCAAATTCGAAAGCCGAGCGACGATATTAATTACATCCTTTCGAGCGACAGAAACGAATCGAGCGCAGCACGCCGGAATATAACGAGGCTACAGGGTGCGCGTTTAAAAGCCATCCGTGCCGCGTGCCAGCCCGAAAAAAAATCCTGTTCCTTTCATCAGCACGTCGCTTCTCGCGGGACACTCCGATCCGCTCGCGACGCTTTCCATCAAACCTCCCCGTTCGATGCACCCTCGTCCTCCGCCAGCATCATCCACCCGCACCGCACCCCGAAATAATGGATGGATAATCTGTTCTGGCGTGGCCCGCCGGGACTAAAAGGTTCCTACGAATTCGTCGGTCATTCTACTCTTCCCTGTCTCCCGATCCATCTTTCGTTTAACGTCTCTTCGCGTCGCGTTGCTCCCTTTCCAGTCTCTCGGGACACACGATTTCCTGGAGCTCGTGGATCTTTTCGTTAGCTTCTCGATTCGAAGCGTCCATCGGGACGATTTCTTACCATTTATACTCTATTTTACAATGGCAGAACCGACGTTCCGTATCGGAGTTCGATAGAAAAATCGAGGGGACACGATTACCGCGAATTTGCATAGCTTTCCAAGTTGTTTCTCGCGGTGCGAATGAACACGGGGAGGGAAGCGCACAGACACGACGCCTTTAGTGGCACATTGCGCGTGTCGTTTGCATAGAAACTGCGTTTTACGGCTTTCTCTTCCGATGTTCGACGCAACGACCTCCGCTCGATGGATCTTATTGGCGGTTTTGGTAGCAAGCCTGGCAATTAGAAGCGTACGGAACCTCTCCCACGCCGTGAACGTAAAATCGTTCCGTTCGCCCACGCACCTCTCCTGGCAACGTGAAAGTTTTTCCACCTGAGCGGGAATAAAAACGTCGCGTTGGCGGCGCGTCGAATTTACGACGAAAGGCTTTCACGGAGGCGAGCCGCATCGATGCTCGAAAAATGAAATCGTCGACACCGATCGAGCCGATTCTCGCCTTTCGATCTTAAATCTTATCACGCGAATGGTAAATCTAATTGAAGCAAAAGAACACACAGCTCGTTGCAATATTTTATCGTAGAGATTGTCGGTTGTTGGCAAGCAATCGGCTCCGAAAGAGCAATTTTTGTTCGCGACAGTTTATGAAAGGTGTATATGCGAATGTCGGTAACGGAAGCATTGTGACGGGCTAATGGAATTAGTCGTCGGAAAGTTTGACGTTCGCCCGTCGAAACGTACTCGAACCAGACAACAATGTGTAACTGGTGAGCTTGGTAATTCATTCCCGGTAACATTGCTCGACTTACAGCAGGGAAATTCTCAACGCGTGCCGCGTCGATGGTAAATCAAACGGGCGGACCAAATAAAATATTGATTTCACAAATATTAGCCCGAGTCAACTAAACGTTCCAAATAAAAGAGAGAGTGAGAGGGTGGGAGGGTGCGTGGCGCGTGTTTTCAGAGGGCAAAGACCCTTGTGAAGCTCTTCGGGGAGCGGTATAACGACGATTGATACCATCGATAGGATTTCTCGTTCTGTCCTGATTCTCGTGGAAAGCCTAGCTGAGACACTCGTCAACTCGATAGAGACTTTAAAACAATTTTGATATCTCATCTGTCCCTATGCCAACCCCAAAGCGTTCCGACGTTGCGACTCGCTCGAAAAAGGATCCTCCTCTTTCCGTTTAGGAGCCGATCGAGTCGTCTCACCTAAGGGGATGAAACTTTTCAATTTCCGTGGAAAAAACCGCATTACCCGACGCTCGATCAACGATTCGTCTATGGACGGTTTATCAAAGGCTTATCTCGCGAAAACGTTGACGATAATTCAGGGAAGTTGTCGCGCGTGTACCGGCGGATCGAAAAGCACGCGAGCAAACTTTCGAGGACGGTGTGTATTTGGGGAAGTTATTACGCTCCGGTCGGCAAACCATTCTCCCTTAATCCGAATAAAAATGTCCCGTTGTTTGACGGCTTCCGGTATGATATTTTTATTCGGATTAAACGCGATCGCTTGCCTCTTCGCGTTTGCTCCAAGTACTTTTTTCATTTTCTTTTCGCAAACATCGAATATCCTGGATATATTTTTTACGCGAACCGCGAGTCATTACGTTTTCAAACCTTTCTCCGTACTGCCGCTAATTAAATTCGTTTCGTATTCAATATTAATGGAATCTCCCTGGGTATCTGTATCGATTCCTCCAAGTTTAGAGACTTGACGCACGGCTGGTTCGATTAAAAATATTCATCCCTAACGAATTAATCGAATCAAACGTTTCCGCGAAATCGTTGAACTTTCTCCGACGAATTAAGGAAGAACCAACGCGAAAAAGGGGAACAAAAACCAGTTGGGATTCTTCGGGGTAAAATCTGGAAAAGTGCTCGATCGATTCCTCGCTGGAGCGAAACCTTTTCTTCCTCTGTCTCCCGTGACCAAATAAATTAGTTGTCACGAAGTAACAGAAGTCGGTTAGCCAGACGAACGATAAAATTACCCGAGCGAAGTTTAACGCCGGGAACAAAGTTGAACGGCGTTTAAACGTTTACGGAAAGGGTTTAAAGCTGGTGGCAATTTGATTCGATTCGCGAATCGACCGCAGCGTCGACGGTAAGTAGAAAGCTGAGAGCATCCTGCTGGACAGTGGTTGCTCGAGGATGGTCAGCGTTGTGACAAGCATAAAATCGAGCTAGTTTCAGAAGTAAGAAAATTTATCGTCCAGCAGGGAGGAAGAACCGTCGAGACCTGGGGGCGAAATAAATGGTCTAGGATAAGTTTGGCTTAAAACGTTCAAATTGAAATTCTGCGTCGCTGCGGTCTCGATAATTCCGCTTCCGGGTAGCGGAAGGCGCGACGTCTCGCCAGGAGGATCGAGTGACGCGTAGTTAGGAAGGTAGCTTCACCTAAATCTCGATGGCCTCGTTTCCGCGGAAACGGACACCCATAATTCTGCGAGTGTTCGCCGGCGCTGCGGAAGGATCCGTTGGAACAGGGCTGCTCTCCGCTTTCCAGGCGAACCATTCACGAAAGGAGAGCAAAGAATTTCGGAAGACAATACCAGAAATTCGAAGTGAGAGGAACAGGTTCGCGGGGAAATATTGAAGGCATTCGCGAGAATATGTTTGCGAACAAACACAAGGGACGTTACCTTCTTTTTAACGTTTGATGTTTGTTATATCAAATAATAAAATAACTGAACTGGGTCCTCTTCGGAAAAGCGGTATTTCTACTAATCCGAGTGAATGACGGGAAGCGAGATAATGGAAAATGGAAGGATAGTAGGGTAGTAGGAGAGAAAGGGTTGTCGACCGTCGTTGCGCGGAGCCTGGCCGGGTAATCACGAGGTGAAACTTTCTCTATAAATCACGAAACGGAATGGACGGTACAAGACGAACGGAGGATGAGAAAAAAGCGACGACAAACGGGTAGTCGTTGGAGATACAATGGACATTAACGTCGATCCTGTGTCGATTTTGTCCTCGACTCTATGGCGTTTACAGATTCCAGCTAACAGTCAATCACCGTTAGTGGTTCATCTATATCTTTCCTCTTTTACTTTTCGAAGGATAACGCGTCGCCTGTTTCTACCGTTCAATTATTCGTCGATTGATTTACTTTCGCAAACAGTGACACCTGTCTGACGCTCGTCAGGAAAACTCCGCTCCGTCGAACGTCTTCGGGAAAAGATAAAATTCTTGCGTCGGATTCGGAAGGCAGCGCGGTTCAACCTGTTCCTCGATAAAAACGGTCACGGAGCGGATGACATTATTTGAGAGATAAGCGGAATCCTCTGTTCATTTCGCATTCTTTCGGTCTCCAACGTCGGTTGAGCGCGTCGTATCTGTCCCGGGAACGGAATTCTGCGCGCGCTAGACGACAGAATTGCTGCTGTCAGACGGTGTTGCGCGCGACTCCGAGGGAAAAAGGAAACGGACGTCGTAATCCGTGCATAAGCGATCGGGATATTTTTCCGAGCGAGATTAAACGCCGGCTACGCGCGGGACGATGTAATCTCGCCGCGGTGCTGTTCGTTTCTTGCCGGAGAACCGCCTCGTATTTCAACGGTGGCACCGTGGTAAAAAGCGGTTCCCTTTGACAAATTCGTTGCGTCTCGTCGAAAACAAGAAATCGCCTCGATTGTTTCGAATCGCGTAAGGAGAAGAGCGACGGACGGACGGACGGGAGGGTTTTTCTGCTGGTAACAACGTCGCTAGCGTAATGCTTCGCGCGTTGGATAATGCGCTCTCGATGTCGTCGGTACTCTCTTCGTCTTCTTGCCGCGAAACCACCTAGTGCAGACGCGCCAAAAACTACCCTCTCTCGCGACGAGACCGAGTCGCGTCGTTCCGCTTCCACTTCCCCTGACGCGCTCTTTATCTACCCTCTCTACGAATACGTAGCTCGAATCTCGCTCGTTCCAAACAGATGTCGCGTTACGACTCTTGCGCGACCAACCACTGCCTACATTTCTCCCTGCGGCATCTACCTACGCCAGATGTCGTGTAAAAAGTTCCTTAGACGAAGGAGCCTTTCGCGATTCGTTACCGGAACCGCACCACCTTCAACGATCGCGTACCTACATTTACATCGAAAGAGAGATTAACGGCGTCGTTTTCCCTGCCAGAATTTCCCTCGAGTCGATCGAGCAAAATTGAAACGACGCAAAGTCCTATGATGTCCTCCAATTTAGTTATCGATAGTTACACGAAGAGGTAAAAAGGGTTGCAATCGTTATAACGACCATCGAGCGTTCGTACGACGCAAGCTTTTTAATTATTCGATCGATCGAGTGGAAAAAGGAGTGGCACTTTGGTATTTCAGTATACACGTTGAAACGGATCTCGAATACAACGGTATCCCTGCGACGATAAAAGCTCTCGGATCGTTTTGCATCCCTCTCGAACTTCCCCCTAATTGATTCGTC